GGCTCTACTCCACCTTGATGATCACTCGAGCCGATCGGGTCATACTTATATAGCTCGGAGCTTCGAAGCTATTTTCTTCCAACTTGTTGCAGATGTTTTCCGCGAGATCCCGAGATTCTCTTGTTATTATTAGCGATACGCGGCCTCTCATCATAGATTTGTATTTGTCGGATACGATTAATTTCGTATCGAAAGATCAAAACCGATTCTACGTATATATAAAACGCCTCTGTCGACTGCAGATGCAAATTTTATAAGTTTCTTCGGCTTATTATTATAGTTAAATAAAGCAGATACGAAGAGCGACGGCGCTTCGAAGGTCTTCTCTACAATGGTATTTATAAGACAAGCGGATGTTATATTAACACAGCATTGATTGTAAACCACAGCGTCGACAATATAATTTACAATAATTCATGTTAATATTAATTTGGACGTGTGACATTAATATGTCGACATGTTGCGAAATATATGCAGTGTTCGAGTAAATAAACTAGATATTTATCTATCCATCTCCATTCTAAAACGTGGAACCAAAATCTGACGAGGCCTCTCTTTTTTTGCTCTCTGGAACCACTGGCTTTGATCTCATTTGCTGTCTTAACTCGTTTGTCTTGCGAAAGATTTCGATTGTTAACTACGATAATTCTTAATTGTTAATTTATCTTAATTCTTCACCCTCCGACTTTTATGTACACTCTCATCCTTTAACTTCTGACTCAGATATGCGTTTTTTTATCTATTTATTGACTATGTCATAATTTTGATTTGCGCTCTACATTTAAGCTTATTTAATTTTGTCGTACTCTGAGGAAGACAACGTCATGTCGAAACGCTTTTTCAAACGCGTTTAAAATAATATTTGCATTTTTAATTGTCATTCGTTGCAACACGTTAATATTGTTGGCCTTTCCTCGACCTGTTTATAAAGATATTAATAGTTTTTGTACAGAATCGACATTCACCATTAATACCTGAACAACATCGGATTGTGTGAAAAACTACTGTGGCAACAGATATCTCTTCCAATATTCTTCACAATAGCGCGCGTTGTGCGCGACAACACTGACAAATGTTATTAACAAAAAGAATGTTACATTGTTGGCGCGGATTAACGTCTTGAACCTTATCGCGTATAAACAGCTGCGGCTATATTTAGTGATATTGTACGGATCAATGTTATCATATTTCGTCATCGTTTGATAAAAGCAGCTGTTTCATTGTTTGAATTAAGCAGAAATTCAGTCTGATCGTCGCGTTCTAAACAATCGCTATTCTGCGACTAGTAAATATTTTTTGCTCCATGCTTTGAGAATTTCCACATACAATGCGCGCTCTTCTTCCCCCCCCCTCTCTCTCTCTCTCTCCCTCTCCCTCTCCCTCCCCCTCCCCCCCTCTCTCCCCCCCTCCCCCCCCCCTCTCCTCCCCCCCCCCCCTCTCTACCTCTCACTCTCTCTCTCTCTCTCCCATCTCTCTCTCTCTCGCTCGCTCGCTCGCTCGCTCGCTCGCTCACTCAAAGAGAACAGCATTTCAATATTCCATTCATATTGCTACAATCTGGTCAGTGTATCAATGACCGAGTTAAGCTTGACTGAAAGTATCGCGAGTTTTTTAAATTTTTTGTACACATATG